AAATTGGTTTATACTTTTTTCAAACACTCGACACATAAAAAAATAAAAAAATAAGAAAAAAAATAGAGTTAGTTAAGGATCTTAAAATATTTTCGTCCCCATAGAGGTTTAACAAGTTTGTTAAAAAAAAAAAAAAGTTCATGCCTCATTTGTCCATAAGCTTCTATGTTGTGTTATGTGAAAAATCTATTAAAAATAATATTCATGAGGAAACTGCCACAATTTCCCAATGTTAAATAAATGAATGGGTTCATGCATGACAGACATTCATGGTTAATACTGCGCGATATTATAACACTTTGCTTGGGCTAACTCGACCGAGTACAAGGCAAAGTGGACTACAGATGATATACATATGCAACGTTCTCCATCTGTTACCAAATCAGATCCCAAATTTCCCTAAGCTCTTCTCAAGTTCTAGAAAAATGCCTCGATCTCACAAGGTTTCATGTCCTACCTCCTTGACCTCTGCCATCTTTGTTATCACCATTTTTCAGCCAATGCACCTAACCTCATCATTCATGGCAGGTCTCAGGTTTACAACAGATATTTCATTAAAGGGAATATCTTTCAAAATTGGATTATGCAATTTCAAACACTCGAACCATCAAAAAAAAGAAAAATAGGAAAAAAAAAAAGAAGTTAGTAAGGATCTTAAAATATTTTTATCCCCATAGATGTTCAGCAAGTACGTAGAAAAGAACAAAAACAAAAAAGAAAAAATCATCACATGCCTCATTTGTTCACAAGCTTATACACTATGTTATGTGAATAATCCATTAAAAATAATATTCATGAGTAAACTACCAAAATTTCCCAATGTTAAAGAAATGAATGGGTTCATGTATGAGCATTTACACCATGGCCATGTCTGTGTGTGTGACTGACATTCATGGTTAATACTAAGCAGTGTTATTCCACATTGCTTGGGCCTTAGAAGCAGGCCGAGTAACTCAGTCAAGTGCGAGGCTGAGTGGACTAGGTCTGTGCATGACCCAAAAGCCCCTTAAAAAAAAGATTTCTTTAAAATGCTAATAAATAAAATAAAATATTTAAACCCGAAACAAAACTAAAAACAACATGTAAGGAATCCAAATAAGCTCAAAAGACTATAACAAATTGGATTACAAAATATGGTTTAGGGTCGGAGATTCTAGAAAAATCCAACAAAAAAAATAAAAAATAGGGCATTTGACAATAAAAAGTCACAAACCATTGTAAAGCATATCCAAATTACATATACATAAATTGATCCCACAAGTTTATATAATTCTCATGTTTGTTTCGTTCTTTAATGTACCCTTGTTGTACCCTGGAACTAAGGCAGGCCAAAATCTGATAGAACCAATGCCATGAACTAGAAAGAAGAATTAATAGATGTAAAATTCATGAAACCATCAAATCCAGGCAGTCCAAAAGAGGGGAGACAAGAGAAATGACATATAGGTGTTGTCAATACGAGTTGACCTTTGTTTTGCATGGCATCTCTTCAGGGTGTGCATCCTTGTTGAGGCGTTGTTGAACCACATTTATAGTGCAAAAATTTCATATATTCACTTCTCGTGTTTCGTGAATAAGTTTATTGAGTTTAGTTGGAATGCAACAAACCTAATTGTATGGAGCAGTCTTACTCTCAAAATCCCATAAATTTCTCTCTAATACTTTATCTAGAAAGAAAAGATGGTGATGAGAGATTAGGATGCATCTAACCTTGCTATTTGTACATAAGAGAATCCATATGTGCATTGCATGTTCTTTCTTTCTAAGTTGTAATTCAGGCTAATTCTTATAAGTATGGTATGAATATCTTATCTTACAACTGATACTTGTAGGCTTAACCAGATTTGGTGATACTGAGGTAGGGTTAGAGGAAGCAGAAAAACCTTTAGAAATTTGTTAGAATTCCAAATATCTGAGAAACTATCAAATATGACTGGCAAAAGTAAAACTCGAGGGGTCATTGATAATATTTGAGAATAGGGTTTTGTTTGTTTCCATACCTGCACAACACAAATGGTCTTGAGGTGAATGGGGGAATTATGAGGCAGCCTAATGTGGTCGATCTCGTAGAAGCAATTTAGCGTTGTTCCCTGCACATATATTACCACCTCACGCTGAACACTCGATACTGATAAATAAAAGAAAAAAGAAAAAAAAAACAAGTAAGAACATTTTCTCTCACAACAAATATAATGAAACACAAATCAGAAATTACCACATCACTCGCAGTTGGAATGTTTAGTTGACAGACGCATCGTCGGACAAGGCTTCTCTCCCTCCACTACTTCACGCTTACACCCCTCCTAAAATCCATTTTTAACCAATTAAATAATCAACCAATCAAAATACTCACCAATCACATTCCTCCCATTAACGAAAAAATATTCCTAAAAAATCCTCCCTCTCTCTCTCTTTTGTACTTTACATGAACTGAAAATCACGGTTACATTTATGCGAATCTCCGAGATTATGATTACCATTAACCTCCCTCGTGCCTCAACTCAATCCAAACACCTTCAAATCGCAGATATCAGATATAATACCAAATGCAAAGCGACTGGTAATAATATCTCAGAAAGTGCATGTCCAAAAATAAAATTGGAGGGTTAAGTCTACCCCACTGACTTACCCACAAAAACTATTTTTGGAGGGTTATGGCCAACATTCTTACGGGCTTATCATTTCCATAGAATTCGCACTCCCTGTAACATATCCCATAGCATTTCCATCACATTGAGCTTCTCTATCTGCTATCTCTCATTTAAATAAAAATGGTGCAGAAAAAAGGGAAACAAGATTCTTTTCTTTTCGTTTAACACTTTAAGGCTCTGTTTGACAAAACAAAATCTGGATATTCATATTTTTAGAAATATGAGTATAGCCATTACCAGTTTTCTATATATATGAACTATAAATTATTCTGAATATGCATATTTCTGAGCATGTTTGACTGTCCACCTCTATCTTAAAATTTTGTCACATTGCTGTCCACCTCTATTTTAAACTTGTCACATTACTGTAAAGAGAAGAGAGAGAAAGAGAAGTAGAGAGAGGAAGAGAGGAGTACTGTAGCTAATTACAGGTTCGAAAATAGAGAAGTAGCCAATAAATCTTTTTTCCTTCAGGGAGAGTATAAATAATGCTACAGAATTTAGTTTTGAGAGAAATGTTAGCTTAGAAAGAGGGAAACATTAAAAAAGCCTGTCCCATTTACAGTACCCATTGAAATTTTTGGATAGAGAGAGGAGAGAGTACCCATTCCAACTTCCTTCACCACCAAGCGTCCCTCCAATAGGAGAGAGAGCAATTCGAGAGAGAGAAAGCAATACCTAGGTGAAAAGTCTTGGCATACTCTATCGTTCACAAAAAAAAAAAAGTCATGGCATACTTGCTCAAACCTTGCTACATTCATCGTATGCTTGCCAAGAGTTCCAAGGAAGCAGACATGGCCTTGCCTGGTTTCACATCATAACCAAATAAGAGCTCCTCTTTTCTCTCACTAGAGCAGCTTGCGAAGTAAGTTTTAATGCCCTATATAGCAGCCTTTCAGCAAAAAGGGTCTTCAGTCCTCCATGAGCGGTGATTGTTGAGAAACAAATGGTTTGCGGTAAGAGAGAGAAAGATGGTTTGCAAAATGTGTGGATCTATAGAGGGTGAGAATGAAAGTTAGTCTGGGTAGTTGGACTTTGCCATAGTATAAGAGGGGGAAGAGTCCAAAAAATTGAAAAAGAAGGAAGATGGAGAGATTTTGGGAGATGGAGAGAGATTGTGAGTGGGGAAGAAGAGAGTAAAGAAAGAGGAGAGCAGTAGATGATCAGAAAAGAGGTCGGACATGTGAAATTTGCCTATTTTTATTCTTTTGGCTCATACAGTACAGTTCGGCTCGACTACACTCGGCTTGGCTCAGCTACACTCGGCTCGACTCAGCTACACTTGGCTCAGGTCGGCTTAAAACGGCTCGGCTAAGCTAAGTTTATATCGCCGCGGCTCAGCTTTTATGGGCTTAGCTCAGCTCATGTCGGCTTGGTTGAATTAAATTTTCACTGCTTTTAGCCGAAATTAGCCTATAAAAGCTTAGCAAGTCTATCTGAGCCGAGCCGATATTGTCCAAGCCAAGCAGAGCCGAGCTGAGCCGAAGTAAGCCAAGCCAAGCCGAGCCAAGCCTATATAAGCCGAGCCAAGATGGTGAGAAAAAATAAAATAGTCAAAATACGAAAAAAAAAAAACCATAAACATAAATTTACGTTTCCACAAGAAAATTTGTGGAATTTTGAAATTAACGAAATTCGTTGAAATTTTGAATAGCGATATTGTGGAATTTCAGTGAAATTTTAGAACATCAGACAAATTTGGAGTTCATTTTTTATTCCCAAATGAAACGATCTTTTTTTTTCATTTCGGCTACAAATTGTTGTCAAAAAATCAGAAATAGACAATCTTCAAATTTTTAAAAGTTAATTAGGGTTTCCATATCCCTATTCTTTGCTTATGTGTCGTCTCTTTCCCTTTTATTTTCTCTCTCAACTAGACTGTTTATTCCCTCTTTCTTCATAGCCATAGCCGAGCCGGAGTTAGCCAAGATGAGCCAAAAAGGCAATAGAGGACTAGATAAAAATTAAAATAAATATAAAAATATAAAAAATATTTAAATATATAAAAATAGATGCGGTTAGCATGCAGTTAAGCCTGCAAATGTAGAATTGCGGACGCTCCAATAAATTTATTTTTGAAAACATGGGGATCATGAATATGAAAAAATAAATAAATTTTAAAAATTAAAAATAATAATTCTATTAAAAAAACATTTAGATCGTTAGTTTCAATTGTTTTTAAATAAACCACCTATTTGCCGCCCTCTTTAAGATAGATTGATGCTTTATACCTCTGGCCCGCACAAAACAATTCATCTGAAAAAAAAAAAATTATTAAAGCCAAAACCATTCTTGCTCTCAATGCTACTCCCTTTATCCTAACCACCGGTAATTGAATAAAACGGTATATCTGTTTCTTATCATCAAATACGGTACTTCATTGAAAGACGAGTGCTCTTTCCCCTTAGGAGAAGAAGGAATTTATATATTATTTTATAAATAGTATTGTTACTTATTATATATTATTTTATAAATAATATTATTATTTATTATATATTAGTTTATAAATAATAATTATATATTATTTAATAAGTAATAATATATTATATATATCTTTTCATTATATTATATTACTTAAATTATATAATACTATGAGATAACATAAATATTATATAATATATAATAAAATTGATATAGATAGTGAGGCACTGAACACCTCAGCCACTATGGTAAATAGTAAAGGTGAAAGGGGGTCCCCTTGGCAGAGCCCTCTCGAAGCATGAAAGTAACCTCTAGATGTGCCATTAATAAGGTCCGAAAATTAGGGTTTTGAAATACACCCTTGGATCCATCTCCACTACATGGCATTTTGGACAAAGTCTCATCAAGAATTTCCCAGTCCACATGATCATAAGATTTTTTATTACCAAGCCTGGGATTTTTGCACTACAGCGGGAATGTATGCATTCGTGTGCTATTAGAGCCCCATTGAGAATCTGGTGTTCCTTCACAAAGGTCCCTTGGGATGATAAGATCACCTGACCAAGGACACGTGTAAGGCGGGAAGCCAGGCCCTCAAGAGAATTTTGTAGGAAGCATTAATCAGACTAATGGGTCTGAAGTCTTTAAGCTCTTTTGCTCCCTCTTTCTTGCGGATCTTGGCAATGAAAGTGACATTCATCGCCTTATGGATAGTGGCCCCAGAGTGAAATTCAGAAAAGAAAGCCATGATATCAGTCCTAAGGGTATCTCAAAAGACTTCGAAGAGGGCTATGGGGAAGCTGTCAGGGTTGGGGACCCAGTCTCCATTGAGATCTTTAATGGCCTGGAGTACTTTGTCCTCTTAAAAAGGGCTTTCCAAAGAGGCTGCAAATAAGGGAGAAATAATACAGAAGGAGAGGGCCGCCATTACTTGCCTAGGACCAGAAGGGGAAGAGAAAAGCTTGGAAAAATATTCGACAACAGCTGCCTCAATGAGATTGGGATAGTCAACAATCCAGTCCCCCAACTTGAAGTGGGTAATAGAGTTCTCCCTTCTTCAACAGTTGGCTATCTTGTGGAAGTAAATTGTATTTTGGTTGCCAAGCTTGAGCCATTTGACTTTGGCCCGCTGAGCCCAATAAATTTCTTCTTTCTTTAGGAGGCATTGGTAATCATGTTTGTGGATGGATCGAGAATCCAGCTCAGAAGGGGAGAGATGTCTAAGTTCTTCAATGAAGTCGCAGTGTTGAATAGACCTCAAAAGGGAGTCTTCTTGGTATCATAAGTTTCCAGGGAGCTGTGAGCTCCATGATTCCAGGAAAACTTCGAGCATTTGACGCTTTTTCTACAAGATAAAATTGGCCCACCCATTCACAAGGGAGGAGAAGGACTCCCAATGGTTACAGGTAGGAGAGGGGAAGCCGGGCTATTAGAGCCAAGACAGCTCAAAGCGAAAAAGCTTAGGCCCTCGAGGAAGGGACTGGGTATCTAGCAGGATAGGTCTATGATTTGAGGCGGGCTTGGGAAGCACCAGAGAGTTGGTGCCAGGGAACTCATGATCCCACTCGAGAGGGGTTAGAAATCTATCTTCCTCTCAATCATTGGTGGTACATACAAAAAATTACTCTCCAGTTTAGTACACTATTACCACAAAAAGTTCTTAATATCTTAAACACCTTAAAAGAATAAAACATGACTTTTAAAATTATAAATATTATTCTTTTACCAAAGTATCTATACATAATTAAAGTAACAGAAAAATAAGAAAAACTAACATAAAAAAGATTTCGAGATGTGAATAGGTAAATGCCTCCATGTTTGTCACCAAAAAATGACATACTTGGTGAGCCTCACCAGATTGTCTACTGGTGTGTCAGAAGCAGCAACAGATTAATCGGGTCAAAAGCGTCAACAGATTAATCGGATATAGTGGTAGAGCCACACACCAAAACATGTCTAAAAACTGCATCTTTGATTCATCTAATCCATTCAGCTACTCCCATGTTCTATGAGCAGATTAAATACTGCCAAACTCATGAGGTGCACAATATCATCATGCATATGACAAATCAAAATGAAATGACTCCAGATCCAATGATCCCATGGGCCAAATGAAAAATTCAATAGTTATCAAATAGAATTGGGAAGAGGAAATAAGAATTCCAACTAAAATAAAAGCTATTATGCATCTTACCAATTGCTCATCAGTTTATGATTAAATCTAACAAGCAGGTCATAAATGACCAAAACAAATTCATGTCTACAAATAGAGTCATATGATGTTGATTATTTCTTAATGTACACCTAAAATGAAATCAAATGCACATAGTTACATACCATCTTAAACATACCAATGTACACATTATTCACAAAATCCCTCCGGAAATACAAGAAGTGGATCGTTATCAAGGGCTTCAACATGTTGTTTCATTCCATGATAACAAAACTCACTAATTTAGAGTTGCCACAAAACAATAAAGACACTATAATAAGCTCCATCAATTAACAATATCCTCAATTCTTTACTACAATTTCATGACCCCTGGCTAGATATGATTGAAGTGAGAAATCAATTTTTTTATGACTTGGGTACGGACCAAGATTGGCTATATAAAACTACTTGGCCTAGATCGCAACTGAAGTTTGTCAAAGTGGTTTGTGAATTTATATACAATTGTGGGACGCCCATCAGATTGGGTATACATGGCCCATGTTCAGCCACGCTATGCGGACTCCAAAAGAAAATGGTTGTACTTTTTTGTGATTGAACCATGAAAAAAATTTGGTTAACATTATCATAAAAACAAAAAAAAATGAAATTTTTTTTCAATAGGCTTTAGGCCAAATGCAATGCTCTTTAGTAATGCCAAAATCGATCCATCCTACTATGCAATAGACCTGCTAGCCTTTAGTATTCTGACATTGCGGCTGCTAATGAGCAACATTATTTCTCTTGCTAATGCTCATTGTTTTGTTTCAATTTTCTATGTTTGGAGTGACTACTTCGCATTTTGAATTCTTTTTAGTACGTATTCCATGTATAATGGTGCAATAGGTAGGAATTGAAGGAATCCCGAAAGATAGGCATAGGTGGGGACAGGTTTGGCATGCACATTGTGTAGTGGGAACAAGAGAAGCAGCAACAGATCTCTGAATGGAAAAAGTGTCACAATTTTTGTTTAGGAAGGCTAGCTAGACATAAATGTGGGCTACCTTCGAGAAACTATGTTGCGTCGTACACTCAATAGTGCAAACTGAGGATTTGGGATTCCAAAAACGAGCAGATGGATTTGTATACCCCACGAGATTATGGAGCATGGTGAGCATAAATTACTTATTTTTATGTAGTTTCTCTATTTTCCTTAAATAATCATTAACATAGAGTGCAGTTTAATGTCCCTACAATTTCGATGAAATAAACAAGCTATGTGAATAGAAGCATATAGATCTAGGACACCCTTATGATGGTCCAAGAGCGAGGGCCATCAGGTGAGAGCTGCTGCTCGCTAGAGGAGACATGGTGGACAATGGAGGCAAGGAGCAAAGAAAGGCCCAAGGTGAGGAGTCCCTAGAAGAACGACTGAACCAGATGCAGCTCAAGCCGAACAGCTACAGCTAAGGCCGAGCAACGCTTCCATCTACGACAACGATGTTAGTCCCAATAAAAATAATAATAAATAAATAAAATTGAAAAAAAAAAATACTCGGATCTGTCTTTAAATCACACGAGGGACTTGAGGTTCCATACAAAATCCTATAGACTAAGCCATGCGGTGACAGGTAACCTTGAAAGTCATCTTTGGTGAATCTCATTCACCTTCCATCTCTATTTTTCTATACTTTTCTCTATCTTTTCTAGAGGGGTCAACCTCCTTTAATAGAGAACACATTTATTTTGTAACTCTCACATTCATGTCTATAGGAGTTGAGATCCAAGTGTAACTCCTGCCTTAATTCCCTTAAGTGCAACTAATTAGGATTAACAAGTTATCACCAAACTGTTAATCTTATATAATAAGCTAAACTTGTCATTAGTCCACTAATGAGACACATAATAGGATGTCATCCAAACATTCACATAATTTGATAAAAGATATTATAAATTAAATAAACTTTGTATATTTATAATATAAAAACAAATTCTTACAAAGAATCCAATTCCAAACACACCACTGAGATTAGGATGCATCTAACCTTGCTATGTGTACATAAGAGAATCGATATGTGCATTGCATGTTCTTTCTTTCTCAGTTGTAATTCAAGTTAATTCTTATAAGTATGGTATGAATATCTTATCTTATAACTGATACTTGTAGGCTTAACTAGATTTGGTGAAAGTGAGGTAGGGTTAGAGGAAAAAGAAACACCTTCAGAAATTTGTTGGAATTCCAAATATCTGAGAAACTATCTAATATGACTGGCATCAGTAAAACTCAAGGGGTCATTGAGAATATTTATGAATAGGGTTTTGTTTGTTGCCATACCCGCACAACACAAATGGTCATGAGGTGAATGGGGGAATTACGAGGCAGCGTAATGTTGTCGATCTCGTAGAAGCAATTCAGCGTTGGTCCCTGCGCATGCATTACCACCTCACGCTTAATACTCGATATTGATAAATAACAAAAAAAAACAAAGGAATAACATTTTCTCTCACAACAAATATAATGAAACACAAATCAGAAATTACCACATCACTCGCAGTTGGAATGTTCAGTTCACAGACGCGTCATTGGACAAGGCTTCTCTCCCTCCACTACTTCACACTTAAACCCCTCCTGAAATCCATTTTGAACCAATTAAAAAATCAACCAATAGAAACACTCACCAATCACATTTCTCCCATTTTTAACAAAAAAAATTCCTCAAAAATTCTCTCTTTCTCTCTCTCTCCTTCTCTCTTTTGTACTTTACGTGAAATGAAAATCACAGTTACTTTTATGAGAATCTCCGAGATTATGATTACCATTAACCTCCCTCGTGCCTCAACTCAATCCAAATACCTCCAAATCGCAGCGTTAATATCAGATATATACCTATGCAAAGCGATTGGTAATAATATCTCAGAAAGTGCATGTCCGAAAATAGATTTGGAGGGGTTATGTCTCCCCCACTGACTTACCCAAAAAAAATATTGGAGGGTTATGTCAGACATTCTTACCTGCTTATCATTTCCATGGAGTTCACATTCCCTATAACATATCCTATAGCATTTCCATCACAGTGAGCTTCTCTATCTGTTCTCTCTCATTTAAATAAAAATAGTGCAGAAAAAAGGGAAACGAGATTCTTTTCTTTTTGTTTAAAACTTTAAGGCTCTGTTTGACATAATAGAATCTGAATATTCATATTTTTAGAAATATGAATAGCCATTACCAGTTTTCCATATATATGAGTTATTATTCTGAATATGCATTTTTCTGTGCATGTTTGACTGTCCACCTCTATCTTAAAATTTTGTCACATTACTGTCCACCTCTATCTTAAAATTTTGTCACATTACTGTAAAGAGAAGAGAGAGAAAAAGAAGTAGAGAGAGGAAGGAGGAGTAACATAGCTAAGTACAGGTTCGAAAGCTGAGAAACAACATAAAGACCCATAGCATATAGTAGCCAATCAATCATGTTTCTTTCCAAGGAGAGTATAAATAATGCTACACAATTTAGTCTAGAGAGAAATGTTAATTTAGAAAGAGGGAAACACTAACAAATCTTGTCCCATTTACAGTACCCATTGAAATTTTTGGAGAGAGAGAGGAGAGAGTACCCGTTCTAACTTCCTTCGCCCCCAAGCCTCCCTTCAATGGGAGAGAGAGCAATTGAATGAATGAGCCGAGTATTCCTCTCTTTTCTGATCATCTATCGCTCTCCTCTTTCTTTCATCTCTTCTTCCCCACTCCCCAAATCTTTCCATCTCCCTTCTCTTTCAATTTTCTCCCTTCTCTTTCAATTTTCGGGCTCTTGCCCCATTTCCTGAAATCTCTCCATCTCCCTTCTCTTTCAATTTTCTGGACTCTTCGCCCCTTTTTGCCAACTATCCACACTAATCTCTCATCCTGACTTTCATTCTCACCCTCTATAGATCCACACATTTTGCAAACCATTTCATTCTCAACAATCTAAAACTTCAAATTTGTATAAGTTTAGGGCTTCCATATCCCAATTATTTGCTTCGTAATCTGAACTGTTATAAGGCATCTCTTTCCCCCTAATTTTCTCTCTCTCAAATAGACTGTTTATTGCCTCTTTCTTCATAGCCAAGCTCACGAGCAGAACCAAGCCATAAAGCGAAAAGAGGAGTAGACAAAAATTAAAATAAATATAAAAATACAAAAATATTTAAATATATAAAACGAGATGCAGTTAGCATGCAGTCAAGCCTGCACATGTAGAAATGTGGGCGCCATAATAAATTTATTTTTAAATAGAATTAGATCCTACCTGCAGCATTCCCCAACCTTACCATCCACTACCTAGCCTTTTGGTTCACTACCATTGAAGCCTCACTGTCCCTTCCTCTTCCAACAACTTCCACCACCAAAAAGAAAAAAGCATCTTTCCATTCCCACAGATCGTCCGTCCACCTATTTCAGATCTCCCCGAATGAATGTCAAATCATGGTGATCCAAGCAAGTAGTACCTCACTCCATGACCAAGCTTGAAAGTTCTCAAGCAACCATGCAGTCAACTCCACAATCACTATCTACCCTCTCTTTACACTTTCCACAGCCCCTTCGTCCCATTTCCTAAATCAGAAGACATTATGTTCCCCACGTAAATTAGAACTCGAGATAGAAATATTATAAACATGCTATAAGACAATATTATGGAATTTGCATTACCAGGGTTTAATTAACTTGAAATCAATCTGGTCATGTATGTCACAATCCTTATTGAGATTGCCCATAAGAAACATTGAGTCACATCATAGAACATAAAACTGGAATGGTTTGACAGTAGCTTGAAGAATAGTGAGGCCGTTAGGGTCTTCCACTGCATAGTTGCACCTCTACCAAAAAGTTTACTAGTTTGAAGAGCAGACCTCAATACAGGTACAAGTTCAAGAGCTCCAAACATAAATGAATTTCACAAATAATGCACAAGATAACTAAATTTGAAGAAACTACAATCCCTACAAAAGGGCATCTTAGACAAAAATGACACAATATCTTGTCCAGTTCAACCTGCATGAATGCTGGAACAATTTGGACCTAATTACTGTGTTCCTCTGTTTTGGGGAGCTAGCAGAATTTTCATGTCATGTGAGTTTTATTTGATGCAAGAACAGCTGTTAAGTGCTAACAATGATTTGGAAGGTGACTCAAGAGAAGATTCATCTTAAACTGTGATTAAGTTTATGTAAAACGTGAGGGACCCAATTTAAATATGCATTTGGTTAACACGCCTCAACAAATATTCCTATGTGATGAATCACACGGATGAGACATAAGATGGAAGATAAATTCAAAAGCTATAAAGAGAAATATAAATAATAAAAATCGTCAAAACCTCCCTAACCACAACCTAGCTTTTCCTCCCACCCAAGCTGCAGCATTCCCCAACCTTACCATCCACAACCTAGCCATATGGTTCACTACCCATGCAGCCTCGTTGTCCCTTCCTCTTCCAATAACTTCCACCACCAAAAAGAAAAAAGCATCTTTCCCTTCCCACAGATCTCTGTCTACCTATTTCAAACCTCCTCGAATGAATGTCAAATCATGGTGATCCAAGCAAGCAGTACCACACACCATGACCAGGTTTGAAAGTTCTCAAGCAACCACGCAGTCAACTCCACTATCACTACCTACCCTCCTCTTTACTCTTGACCATATACCCTTCGCCCCATTTCCTAAATCAGAAGACATTTTGTTCACCACGTAAATTAGAGTTCGAGATAGAAATATGATTAACATGCTATAAGACAATATTCTGGAATTTGCATTACCAGGGCTTAATTAACTTGAAATCAATCTTGTCAGCTATGTCACAATCCGTATTGAGATTGCCCATTAGAAACATTGAGTCACATCATAGAACGTACAATTGGAATGGTTTGATAGTAGCTTGAAGAATAGTGATGCTTAGGGTCTTCCACTGCATTGTTGAACCTCTCCCAAAAGGTTTGCTAGTTTGAAGAGCAGACCTCAATTCAGGTACAAGTTCGATAAAATTGAGCTCCAAACATAAATAAATTTCACAAATAATGCACGAGTTAACTAAATTTGAAGAAACTACAATCCTTGCAAAAGGGCATCTTAGACAAAAATGAGACAATATCTTGTCCAGTTCAACCTGCATGAATGCTAGAACAATTTGGACCTAATTACTGTGTTCCTTTGTTTTGGGGAGCTAGCAAAATTTTCATGCCATATGAGTTTTATTTGATGCAAGTACAAAGGCAGCTAAGTGCTAATAATGATTTGGAAGGTGACTCAAGAGAAGATTCATCTTAAACTGAGATTAAGTTTACGTAAAACAACAATTCACATGAAGTGTACAAAGGCTGCTAAGTGCTAATAATGATTTTGGAAGGTGACTCAAGAGAAGATTCATCTTAAACTGAGATTAAGTTTACGTAAAACAACAATTCACATGAAGTGACATGTTAATTCTTATTAGTAAAGTGAAGGACCCAATTCCCATATGCATTTGGTTGAATGTTGAAACACGCCTCAACAAATATTCCTATGTGATGAATTACACGGTTGAGACATACGATGGAAGACAAATTCAAAAGCTATAAAAAAAAATATAAGTAACATACATTGTCAAAATCTCCCCAACCACAATCTAGCCTTTCCTCCCACTCAACCTACAGCATTCCCTAACCATACCATCCACAACCTAGCCTTTTGGTTCACTACCCATGCAACCTCACTGTCCCTTCCTCTTCCAACAACTTCCACCACCAAAAAGAAAAAAGCATCTTTCCATTCCCACAGATCGTCCGTCCACCTATTTCAGACCTCCTCGAATGAATATCAAATCATGGTGATGCAAGCAAGATATACCTCACTCCATGACCATGCTTGAAAGTTCTCAAGCAACCATGCAGTCAACTCCACTATCACTACCTACCCGCCTCTTTACACTTGACCACAGCCCCTTTGTCCTATTTCCTAAATCAGAAGACATTCTGTTCCCCACGTAAATTAGAGTTTCAGATAGAAATATGATTAACATGCTATAACATATAAGACAATATTATGGAATTTGCATTACCAGGGTTTAATTAACTTGAAATCAATCTGGTCATGTATGTCACAATCCGTATTGAGACTGCCCATTAGAAACATAAAGTCACATCGTAGGACATAAAACTTGAATGGTTTGATAGTAGCTTGAAGAATAGTGAGGCTGTTAGGGTCTTCCACTGCATAGTTGCACCTCTCCCAAAAAGTTTGCTAATTTGAAGAGCAGACCTCAATTCAGGTACAAGTTCAGTAAAATTGAGATCCAAACATAAATGAATTTCACAAATAATGCACGAGATGACTAAATTTGAAGAAAGTACAATCCCTACAAAGGGCATCTTAGACAAAAATGAGACACAATATCTTGTCCAGTTCAACTTGCATGAATGCTGGAAAAATTCGAACCTAATTACTTTGTTCCTCTGTTTTGGGGAGCTAGCAGAATTTTCATGTCATGTGAGTTTTATTTGATGCAAGTACAAAGGCTGCTAAGTGCTAACAATGATTTGGACCCAATTCAAATATGAAGTCACATGTTAATTCTTATTAGTGAAGTGAGGGACCCAATTCAAATATGCATTTGGTTGAATGTTGAAACATGCCGCAACAAGTATTCCTATGTGATGAATCACACAGATGAGATGTGAGATGGAAGACAAATTCAAAAGCTATAAAAAGAAATATAAATAATAAAAATTGTCAAAAGTAAATAAGAAAAATTAGCATAAAAAAGCAAATACATGCATCCCATATATGAATATGGTTGTTCAACTTCTAGACACAAGTCCAAACTTATGGGGGCACACATGTCAAACCATAGGTGTCCATGTCTGAAATTTCAAGATGAGAACAGGAAATGCCTCCATGTTTGACACCAAAAAATGACACATGCTTGGTGAGGCACATCAGATTGTCTACTGGTATGTCAGAAGCAACAACACATTAATCGGATACAGTGGTAGAGCCACACACCACGACATGAGTAAAAACTGCATCTTTGATTCATCTAATCCATTCAGCTACTCACATGTTCTATGAGCAAATTAAATACTGCCAAACTCATGAGATGCATAATTTCATCATGCATAAAACAAATCAAAATAAAACGCCTCCAGATCCAATGATCGAATAGGCCGAATGAGAAATTCAATATTTATGAAGATAGATTTGGGAAGAGGAAATAAGAATTCCAACTAAAATAAAAGCTATTATGCATCATACCAATTGCTCATCAGTTTATGAATAAATCTAACAAGCAATTCATAAATGACCAAAACAAAATTCATGTCTACAAACAGCGTCATATGATGTTGGTTATTTCTTAATGTGCACCTAAAATGAAATAGAATGCACATAGCTATAAAACTACTTGACCTAGCTCAGAACTGAAGTTTGTCAAAGTGGTTTGTGAATTTAATATACAATTTGTGGGAAGCCCATCAGATTGCGTACACATGGCTCATGTTCAGCCACGCTATGCGGACTCCAAAAGATAATGGTTGTACTTTGTTGTGATTGTACCATGAAAAAAAATTTCACTAGGCTTTAGGCCAAATGCAATGCTCTTTAGTAATGCCAAAATCGATCCATCTTCCTATGCTATAGACTTGCTAGCCTTTAGTAACCTGACATTGTGACTGCTAATAAGCAACATTATTTCTCTTGCTAACATTCTTTTGTTTCAATTTTCTATGTTTGGAGTGACTAGATATTATCATCTTCTCATTTTGAATGTTTTTAGTACGTATTCCAAGCATTATGGTGCAGCAGGGAAGAATTGGAGGAATCCCGGAAGATGGGCACAGATGGACAGGTTTGGCAGGCACATTGCGTAGTAGGAACAAGCAGTTTGTCTCTTTCAAGTGCTTATTATAAGAAAGCTCTGGATAACTGACTCACAAATGAATGACCAATACAAATAATTATTTTCTTTGTACATCAAAAACAAGATTTGAAATAAACCATGCAAAAGAATGCACAAATCAATAAATAATGCAAAAAGACAAAAACATCAAATAAATAAAACCCATAGCAAGAATATTACCTTATTCTTCAACTTATGTAGAAGAGTTATCTTTCCGGTGTTGCCGAGTACTAGACAAGGGATCTTGACTACTTATCTGCGCAAGGAAGCAAGAACACCTTAAAACCAGTCAAGCAGAAACACAAATCCAGCCTAAATAAATCCCTCAAGGGAAAAAAGAGGAAGAAAAATAAAATATGAGAAACAACTTGAAATATGAGAAAATGGACTACAAAGATAACCATATTAAAAAAAAAAAAAACCAAAAATAAGAAAAATAAAAGGACAAAACAAAACAAAAGTTGAGATATGAAAGTGAAAAATGGAGAAAACAACTGAATGTACATTTCAAGTTAAACCCTCATATATATAGATTAGTGTGGAAGAAAGCCTAATACTAATTCGAAGAGCAAGAGTGCAATAAGAGAATCGCAGTAAAGAGTTTCTCTCTCTAAAAAAAAGCAAACGAGTATGTAAGAAAAATGAGGGTGGATGAGCTTTTCTAGTAATACAGCTTTTTATTTTACCAAGTGTCTAAAATGCTAACACCATAAAATCAAAATCACTCCCATCATTACCCTTGTGCGTGATTGATGGCTTGAGAGCACAAGGGCCTAAATCCTCATCATTACCATCACACGACATGTACACTAGATAGCCTTCCGGGAAGTGGCCCTTTTAGTTAAGGGTGTGTAACATGTACATGTGTAGAAGAGATGATTCCCTACAACACCGGACTGTGTTGGAAGGACCCATGGAGCATATTGTTGAAATGGGATATGGACTTGTCCTCAAGGACGAACCTGTAATCTATGGTCTAGAATCGTATCTTCTTCACTTTATTGGCTGCATTTGATAGTCCAATCATGAACCCTTGTGAGAGGTTGTGGATCATGGCAACTATTGGGTCAGTTTGAGAAAGTGCAGTGAGATACGGACTCTAGAGAGGATGAGTCCTCAATATATTTGTCGTAATCCTAACTTGATCGATCTTTCACATCAAATCTTCTTAGATATGTTTAAATATGTTAATTATTTTTTAGATAATTAAAATAAATTTTTAGACCTCTCTAAGTATTTTATTTTATTGAGAAATGATTTTTAACTAAGAAAAAATCAATTTTCTGGATTTATTTTAATCAGAGAGAAAAATAAAATATTTGAGATTTTATAAAATTATTTTATTATTTAAAATAACGTTTAAGTATTTGGGGCCTATAGGGCCCACATGGCCACCCTATGTGTGGTGCGCCCCACCTCCTCCAAACTTTCCTAAAATGAAAGATGGCAATTATGCCATATGTTAACTTGATATTTTAGGAAACCTTTTGTGCAGCAATTTTGATTGATTTCAAAATAGGGAGGTGTAAGAAATTAATTGTGATTGATTTCAAAATAAGAAGATATAAAGAAATTAACTGTGATTACTTTATCACCTTCTCTATAAAATATTTGATGGGAATGGAGTTATGGAAACTGAGGGATAATAGTTTTATCTCATCTTTTTAATCATAATGGCTGATCTAAAGGATAACGGATGAGATCCCTTCACCCCACACATCTCCAAGATTAAAGGTCGAGATTAAGTTTCACAAAAATGACAAGACAGGAACCCTAGCCTTTATTCTATATAAACTGGCTATGGGTGGGGCTCATTCTCTACACTTGATCTCTCTCTCTCTGTGCCTGAAGGAGTAACACGCCACTCTCTAAATATCTCTCTCTTATTCCCTCTCCAAACTTTAGGGTTTAGGAAAGAAAACTAAGCCAAGGGGTGGCACGCCCAAGCCACATAGCCTAGCCCTAGGTCTTGGCCTTATGTTCAGATGTTGAGCCTTGGTCAAGCATATATTATGTTATGCTCTCTCCTGGTTTTTGCCTAGGCTTCCCAAATTTGTGAAACAAGTTTTTCGACTTAGATCCTGTGTGTCGTTGTGGATGAGACGCGGTGTGGGGTGTCCTAAGTCGTTGGGATAACTTGAGGTAAGGTATAAGGTATTCTCTTAGTTTATATTCTTTTGATTTTATTACATCTTTATTTCCAGATCTGTATTTGGAATGTATTTTAATTTTAATGGCAAGCAAGTGAGAGTTCTTGGCAATTTTATTTGGTTCATATTGTATAAAGACACTTGTGAGTGATTCGGGTGGCAATACAATAAGAAAAAATAAAAAAAAATTAAATGGTAGTGACTCGCCCAGTCACATTATCCACCTTTCAAGAGGGGTGTATCAAAGTACCACTGCTCCATAAGGGCTTGGGCTGGTGACCCAGCTAAGTTCCAATAACTAATCAATGAGGTACACATTATTGAGAGGCATCCATGATTTGTTTAATCTGGAGGAAGAAGCATGTTTCTCATGTTTTAAGTATGTTTGTATCCAAATTTCTTGACCCTAGTAAGCAAGGACCATATGGATGGATCATGTCCAACATAGGGGTTTAGTCTTGGTAAACAAATGCAATATCGTAGAGGAAGAAGAGGTGGGAGTCTCATGTTGTTGTTAGCATGTAGAGCTGCACAATATTATAAAAAAATGTCAATCTATTTTTTTTTTTTTTTGAGTTACAACTCATACACGCATTTCCATTACATCGCATGGATGGAGATGACTGTGATAGAACAAGCGAGGGCCAAAACAATTGTGCTGCATTTTCTTCGTGACAGTATGGAGTCTTTGGAAGAATCGAAATGGTGAAAAAAATCCAAGCTGGATCAAGACCTCATGAAGAACTAGTCAAACCCTTGTCCCAAAAAAAAAAAAGGAACGAATGAAAAATCAAAGACCAAAGGTCATGAAGAACTAGTTAAACCCTTGACCCAAAAACAGTCGTAGATCTTCAAGTTTTGAGACCCAAGCCTCAATAGAGATTCGATTCACCACCAACCACGGTGAAAATAATGAAATGATCAAGCTGAATTTTTGGAGCTGCAAAGAGAAGCACTAGACTTGTATGTTTTTTGGATATCACATGAAACAAATAAGGAGACAATTAAAAGATCCATGCAGCACTTTTGGTATTGAGGGCTCTTTGGCAAAAATAACATAGTCTCGTACTGGTACAATCTCCTTTTCTTACCACCACGCGAGTAACTCACGAGCCTCCTTGTGGCTTCCTCCAGAGTTGGACTGCGTAAAGCTCAACTTTGATGGTTGTTCCATAGGCAACCCAGGGCTATCAAGTATAGGTCATTTTAGAGACCACAAAGGGTCCACTCTGACCTCTTTCTCGAAGTCCATAGGTCACTCCGATTTCCAATCAGCAGAAGCTAGATCATTTCTTGCAGGCCTCAAACTATTTGACAACTCTTGGGGCCAAGCTCTCACCATAGCAGGGGACTCCCACAACGTTATTTCCTGGGCCTCTGGTTGGACTAACTGCTAATGGTGATCCAAGCAAGCAGTACCTCACTCCATGACCAGGCTTGAAAGTTCTCAAGCAACCATGCAGTCAACTCCACTATCACTACCTACCCTCCTCTTTACTCTTGACCACAACCCCTTCGTCCAATTTCCTAAATCAAAAGATATTTTGTTCCCCTCATAAATTAGAGTTCGAGAAAGAAATATGATTAACATGCTATAAGACAATATTTTAGAATTTGCATTACCAGGGTTTAATTAACTTGCAATCAATCTAGGCATGTATGTCACAAACCATATTGAGATTGCCCAATAGAAACATTTAGTCACATCATAGAACATAAAACTGGAATGATTTGATAGTAGCTTGAAGAATAGTGAGGCTGTTTAGGGTCTTCCGCTGCATAGTTGCACCTCTCCCAAAACATTTGCTACTTTGAAGAGCGGACCTCAATTCAGGTACAAGTTCGGTAAAATAGAGCTCCAAACAAAAATGAATTTCACAAATAATGAACGAGAACTAAATTTGAAGAAACTACAATCCCTTCAAAAGGGTATCTTAGACAAAAAAGAGACGATATCTTGTCCAGTTCAACCTGCATGAATGCTGGAACAATTTGGACCTAATTACTGTGTTCCTTTGTTTTGGGGAGCTAACAGAATTTTCATGTCATGTGAGTTTTATTTGATGCAAGTACAAAGGCTGCTAAGTGCTAACAATGATTTGGAAGGTGATTCAAGAGAAGATTCATCTTAAACTGAGATTAAGTATACGTAAAACAACAATTCACATGAAGTGACATGTTAATTTTTATTAGTGAAGTGAGGGACCCCATTCCCATATGCATTTGGTTGAATGTTGAACCACACCTCAACAGATATTCCTATTTGATGAATCACACAGATGAGACATGAGATGGAAGACAAATTCAAAACCTATAAAAAGAAATATAATAATAAAAATTGTAAAATCTCCCCAACCACAACCTAGCCTTTCCTCCCACCAAACCTGCAGCGTCCCCCAACCTTACCATCCACAACCTAGCCTTTTGGTTCACTACACTTGAAGCCTCAGTGTCCCTTCCTCTTCCAACAACTTCCACCACTAAAAAGAAAAAAGCATCTTTCCATTCCCACAGATCGTCCGTCCACCTATTTTAGACCTCCCAGAATGAATTTCAAATCATGGTGATCCAAGCAAGCAGTACCTCACTCCATGACCAGGCTCGAAAATTCTCAAGCAACCATGCAGTCAACTCAACTATCACTACCTACCCTCTTTACACTAGACCACATCCCTTTCATCCCATTTACTAAATCCAGAAGACATTATGTTCCCCCCGTAAATTAGAGTTCGAGAGAGAAATATGATTAACATGCTATAACCTATAAGACAATATTATGGAATTTGCATTACCAGGGTTTAATTAACTTGAAATCAATCTGGTCATGTATGTCACAATCCGTATTGAGATTGCCCATTAGAAACATTGAGTCACATCATAAAACATAAAACTGGAATGGTTTGATAGTAGCTTAAAGAATAGTGAGGCTGTTTAGGGTCTTCCACTGCATAGTTGCACCTCTCCCAAAACGTTTGCTAGTTTGAAGAGCAAACCTCAATTCAGGTACAAGTTCGGTAAAATTGAGCTCCAAACAGAAATGAATTTTACAAATAATGCACGAGATAACTAAATTTGAAGAAACTACAATCCCTACAAAAGGGCATCTTAGACAAAAATGAGACACAATATGTTGTCCAGTTCAACCTGCATGAATGCTGGAACAATTCGGACCTAATTACTGTGCTCCTTTGTTTTGGGAGCTAGCAGAATTGTCATGTCATGTGAGTATTATTTGATGCAAGTACAAAGGCTGTAAGGTGACTCAAGAGAAGATTCATCTTAAACTGAGATTAAGTTTACGTAAAACAACAATTCACATGAAGTGACATGTTCAATCTTATTAGTGAAGTGAGGGACCCAATTCCCATATGCATTTGGTTGAATGTTGAAACACGCCTCAACAAATATTCCTATGTGATGAATCACACGGATGAGACATAAGATGGAAGACAAATTCAAAAGCTAAAAAGAAATATAAATAATAAAAATTGTCAAAATCTCTCCAACCACAACCTAGCCTTTCCTTCCACTCAACCTGCAGCATTCCCCAACCTTACCATCCACAACCTAGCCTTTTGGCTCACCACCCTTGCAACCTCATTGTCCCTTCCGTTTCCACCAACTTCCACCACCAAAAAGAAAAAAGCATCTTTCCATTCCCACAAATCATCCGTCCACCTATTTCAAACCTCCCCGAATGAACGTCAAATCATGGTGATCCAAGCAAGCAGTACCTCACTCCCTAACCGGGCTTGAAAGTTCTCAAGCAACCAAGCAGTCAACTCAACTATAACTACCGACCCTCCTCTTTACACTTGAACACAGCCCCTTCATCCCATTTCCTAAATCTGAAGACATAATGTTCCCCATGTAAATTAGAGTTCGAGATAGAAATATGATTAACATGCTATAAGACAATATTCTGGAATTTGCATTAGCAGGATTTAATTAATTTGAAATCAATATGGTCATGTATGTCACAATCCGCATTGAGATTGCCTATTAGAAACATTGAGTCACATCATAGAACATAAAACGGGAATGGTTTGATAGTAGCTTGAAGAATAGTGAGGCAGTTAGGGTCTTCCACTGCATAGTTGCACCTCTACCAAAAAGTTTACTAGTTTGAAGAGCAGACCTCAATACAGGTACAAGTTCAAGAGCTCCAAACATAAATGAATTTCACAAATAATGCACAAGATAACTAAATTTGAAGAAACTATAATCCCTACAAAAGGGCATCTTAGACAAAAATGAGACAATATCTTGTCCAGTTCAACCTGCATGAATGCTAGAACAATTTGGACCTAATTACTGTGTTCCTTTGTTTTGGGGAGCTAGCAGAATTTTCATGTCATGTGAGTTTTATTTGATGCAAGTACAAACGCTGCTAAGTGCTAACAATGATTTGGAAGGAGACTCAAGAAAAGATTCATCTTAAACTGAGATTACGTTTACGCAAAACAACAATTCACATGCAGTGACATGTTAATTCTTATTAGTGAAGTGAGGGACCCAATTCAAATATGCAGTTGGTTGAATGTTGAAACACGCCTCAACAAATATTCCTATGTGATGAATCACACGGATGAGATATAAGATGGAAGACAAATTCAAAAGCTATAAAAAGAAATATAAATAATAAAAATTGTCAAAAGTAAATGAGAAAAATTAACATAAAAAAGCAAATACATGCATCCCATACATGAATATGGTTGTTCAACTTCTAGACCTATGTCAAAACTTATGGGGCCAAACATGTCAAACCATAGGTGTCCATGTCTGAAATTTCAAGATGTGAACACACGAAAATGCCTCCATGTTTGACACCAAAAAATGACACATGCTTGGTGAGGCTCATCAGATTGTCTACTGGTATGTCGAAAGCAACACATTAATCGGATATAGTGGTATAGCCACACACCACGACATGTCTACAACAAAATGCCTCTAGATCCAATGATCGAATGGGCCGAATGACAAGTTCAATATTTATCAAGATAGATTGGGAAGAGGAAATAAGAATTCCAACTAAAATAAAGCTATTATGCATCTTACCAATTGCTCATCAGTTTATGAATAAATCTAACAAGCAGGTCATAAATGACCAAAACAAAATTCATGTCTACAAACAGAGTCGTATGATGTTGGTTATTTGGGGAAAGAGAAGAGCAGGAGATGAATTAAGAGGAAAACGCTGAGGTGAAATAATGAGGCTAGGGGAGGGCATATCAAGAGGGGTTGCAGGAGGAAGGGATGAATTCAGAGGAAATGCAGAGCAAATTCAAAGTAAATTAATACAAAGATGAGAGAAAAATAAGAGAAACAAAGGCGATTGAACCATTTTGCTTACGGGGTAAGTTAACGTGTGACGACATCCTGAGGCAACGAATAAAATGGTTTTTCTCCAATATCTCCCTTTCGACCCAAAGATTCTTGGAACAAATGTTTGAAAAATCCAGAAACCAGAAAACAAATCTTAGAGAGAAAAACTAAATAGAGATAGAGAATTAGAGACTAAAATTTTCACTTTCAATAATTAATATAGTGAGAGAACAAAACAAAATGATGGAATTCGATGCATAAGCAGAGGGGTTAGAACACTGAGAGAGAAAGAGAGATTTCTATCTACGAGAATAATGATTAGAAAAGCTAACTTTTACCATTATAGAAATCACTCGAAGAGTCAGCTGGGCTCGGCTTACTTCAGCTCGGCTCAGCTTGTATCGGCTCGGCTTATATCAGCTCAGCTCCGTTTATATCGGCTCAGCTCAGCTCAATTCAGCTAAAATATCCAAATCCAACTTTAAATTTTCATAGACTTGAGCCGAGCCGAGCCGATTTTAGCCGAGTTGAGCCGATATTAGCCAAGTCGAGCTGACGTTAGCTGAGCCAAGCCGAGATAATCTGAGCCAAGCCGAGACAAAAAAAGCTGGGCCAAGTTTAATAAATAGCTGGCATAAAATCTCAAAAAATGAAAAAATCAATAAAATTATCAATAAATTATTAAAATAAAAATTTTGAAAAATAAAAAATTATTTTAAACATGTACAAAAGGAAAAATATTAGTTCTACCTACTATTTTGAGATATATAAATGTGTTAGTCACTTTTTTTTGGGAATATATTGCATTTATTTGTACATTTTTTTAGGGAACTCATTGGTAAAACTTTTAATGGTATTTTTGTTAAATCAAGATTTTAAATTTACTTCTATTGTAACTTTACTTTTCTTTAAACCAATTTTCAATAATATTAAATAAATAAAGTTATGAGGAATACGTATTTTTTAGAAAAGATAAAATATGAATTTATATCAATACTATTAAAAAAGCAATTTTTTGAAGATCTTTTAAAAAATGCAGGATTCTTAACGGATTTAAAAAAATCAGATATTTATTTAAAAAATCATGTTTTGAACGGAGACTTGGCAACTATGATATTTGCGTATCTAGTTTTTTTACTATTTTTTTTTAACCAAATCCAAAATATTCATGACCCTATAACTTACCGTTTTTTTTTGGTGATCCATATTTTTTAACTGATTTTTTTACTCCGACCTCTTGAAATAAAATAGATTTCTTACCGATATTTTGATCTGCCGATATTTTATTATTCCTTGGCTTGCTACCCATTATTTCATGACAACAATGGATATATCTAATGCTGATAATAATGCTCCTTTATGCTGATAATAATGCTCTTTTAGACGGTGAAAATAACTTCTAAAGCTCCTTTAGACGGTGAAAATAACTTCTAAAGCTCCTTTAGACGGTGAAAATAACTTCTAAAGCTCCTTTAGACGGTGAAAATAACTTCTAAAGAAAATAAAACCACTTTTAACTTTCCACCAACTTCGGGCACAGTTAAGATTCATTGACCATCTCATAATGGATTCACTAATCAAATTCCCTTTAAACATCACTCGAACCAAGATGGGCCCAAGATCAACCAAAGAACTTCACATTTTATATATCAATAAGAACTTTCAATGTGTCAGATATTCCAAATTTCAGAGTTCATAGTATAATCCCCAAACAGAATATATCCAATGGGGGAGGGGGAACATGCAAATTTGATGTATAGCTTTGTGCCTAAAACTCGAAAACCTTCTTATTTGCCTTCCCTTCCGTTATCCTACATCTTGCGATTCCTCTTTTTCTTAGCTTGCATAGAGTTAAATTTTTTTTAAAAAAAAAGTGAAAACCCATAGAACAACACGAACAAAAATTCCAACCTACTCTAATGCAGTCAGAACAAACCTCTGCCACAATGTCACTGCAGTCCTTTGCATTGATTTCATAGCTTCTCCTCTTCCCTTGCTTCCTCATACATGAAGCACGTCACCCAATAATGAATAACTCACTCCCATAAAACGCATAAAACTTTGCATGCATACATCAAACAACACATCAAGAATCTGGGCTCCTATTATAAAAAAAGAAAAATACCTTACTTTGCTGCCAAAGTAACATCATCCAAAGCCTCTAATTCTTCCGACCAAAGAGTGACATCCACTTAGTAGCTCAACCTGGGTAATTGAAAAGAGGTCGAAATAATTTCATGTATAAATCTAGCCAACAAATCATTAAGTGCTTGTGGAGTAACACTAACATACAGAAGAATAAATGTGTTTACCCTTTTAGCACCAGTTTTATCCATTGCCCCAAGCACATAACAGTCCAAAGAAAAAAGTTCTTAAATGTTAATCAAGAGTCTCACTGCGTTAAACCCTCTCTCAAAAAGGAAAAAAAAAAAAACTCACACAATGAGAAATAAGAAAATGCACAAAAGAAGTCCTAAAATTCATGAAAATGATGGTCAGATAAGCAGCTAGTTAGGTGTAGACATACATGTGCGTTGTTCCAGGTAAGGTTCCTGGTGCAATCCTTTGTTCCTTCTCTTCGAGTACGTTATTTGGAACAAGAGAAATAGAGTATTGGACTCCATGAGAATAAAATGGCAATCAAAAGGTGACTAATAATGCAGCTCACTAGAAGATTGTGACCAAAATCTTTCGGTGTACTCATTTGGTCAAGAGGCTTCCCTAGCTCTTTCCTTTATTGCTTTCGAAGATCAATGACGTTAGGTGCCTTCACACCAATTGGCGTACTACGGGAAACTTAAAAAACTCAATTTATTAATACAGCAGAGAGAGAGAGAGAGAGAGGCAGACAACTGATTGAATACCAACCTCCAATTCCCCTTCTTCCA